GGAATAGGGAGGTGGATCAGGATTTATTTGCACAGACCTATTGTTTTGAGTCATTAAACTGAGTTTAATTTTGTACAAAAAGATGTATGCAAATTAATGCCGACTGGAAAAGAACTTCCATGCATCCTCAGTGACATGCTAAATGTGGTTAACATGATTACGATGAATAAGGTGACATTAAATTGACTGAAGTGCTCAAAGCACCCCTGCTTTCTCCTGGATATCTTCTTTGCCCTGTTCAACCCCAGGGAGTTTCTGTGGTGTGACACCAGTGGTCCCTGCAGGGGACGGATCTTATGATTCAAACAGACAGCAGGTAGCTCAGAGGTCTCCTCCCCTGTCAAAAGCCACCACACTGGAGGCTGAAAGCACTACCTCTTCGGGGGGGAGCTCAGTGGAGGCACCTTTCCTTGGCATGGTGCCACTGTGGGTGCCTGTGCTGCACTTGGTTGGACAAGATCCCACCAGGGCAGTGGGGTCTAATGCACCCTCTTCCTTCATTTGCTCTCCTGGTCACGTCTGCACATCAGTATGGTATGACAGGTCCATGTCAGAGACTGTGACCATGCCGGCGCAGAGGTGCACATTTAGGAAGGTGTTGAGAGGTAAAATTGCTTTAAGGGGCTAGGTTCACACCTTCCCTTGGGCAACAGTTTGTGGCCACACAAGCAGAGCAGTTACACAACCAATATGGCTCATGCATCTCTCTTTCCACCCTCCCTCCTTCATGCCCATGCTTTCAATGGACCTTCCTTTCACTGGCAACAGGTGGAGGAGCTCTGCAAAGTAATACTGCTAGAGGTCTTCTTGGTCCCTCTCCTCCAGGCAGCAGCCTGCAATTGTTTATAGAAGAATATGAGTATTAATGTTAAAATAGAGATATATTAATCTTTGAATAGCTTCCCTAGATGCTGCTTATATGAAGCATTTCAAACAAAGCTGGACAAAGTAACTTCACAGAGGACCAGCTGCAGGATGGAAAACGACACACGTCTCCATGCTCCTGGAGAGCACTAGCTTTCCTGTTTGCTTCTACCCTGGGAACACATAGGTCAAATGCAGCAGTGTGGAGCACTGTGTAGCCCTACAGTGTCCCCTGCCTCCAGGCTAGGGGTCCCTCAGCATTACTTGGGGCAGCCTGCCAGGTCCTGGCCATGGCCATGGCCATGTCCATGCTGCACATCTGCATGCCAGGTTGCCTGGCTCAAAGGATGCCCGCACCAGAGATAAAAACAAAGCATCTGCAGGCAAGGCACTGAAAAACCATGTTTGCAATGCTCGGCTTTTGTGTGTTACTGCTATGCCAAGGCCACCACCTTTATAGCCCTGGTGTCCTTCAGGGCAGAGAGGGGAGATGGAGCTGTAAGGGGGCCTCCTGCTTTCCACCAAGGAGAGTGTGCCAAGGCTTTGTGACTTCTCTTTTTAAATCCATCGAGTCCCACTCCTCGAGGGCTATCCGAGGTGGGGGACTGGCACATATGGGTAAGGTCCAGAACGGGGTGTTCTGGCAAGGCAGTAAAGTCCAAGTATGGCCTAAGCCAGGGCAAATTTCAGCTCCCTGATCAGCTCCCTCATTTCTACAGGGTCACATGAAACTTGTGTCACAAAACAAAATCACTAAGCCCAGTAACTAACGTAACCAAGCATTTACGGTAATGGCTGAGTGAAAGTGATCCACAGTTATAAAAAAAAAATGTGGAGAACCCAGGTATGTTTTAATGACTCCAAGGACTAGGGACATTTTACACTCTCTCGTTATTTATCTGTTTACTACCATTTCTTGCAGAATTAAAGTCTCAGGCAACATTCTCTAAAGTAGGCCTATGAAGCACAATAGATGTATGCCTGCTAAAAGAAAACATTGTCTCCTCCGTTATTACTATGCAAAGCCTGGAGATGAAGTCACATCTGTATGATGATCTATTTTGGTGGACCACGCATGCTTAAATCCCAGCCTTGATCTTTTAAACTATCAAGTCTGCCATAAATATTTGATGATGAAGAAGCTAATGAAAAGGAAATGCAGAATATGAATAGAGGGAGAGCAAATGTCTGATTCAATTTTTAGTTACCATCACCTCACTCTAAAGTCAAGTTCATTTTCTGTGAGAGAGGGAAAGTAACAAATTTGTTTCTCACCATAACCTGATCTAAATGATCAGCATTGCATTTGTTTTTATTTTTTAAGGAAAAGGGTTAGTCATCATAGAAACAAAAGAATCAGGACACAAGAAATAAGGTAGAACAGTCTGGTTTTATTACCATATGTAACCAAGAGCTTTTATTTTCTCCTCCTCCTTTCTTTTTTTTCTCTGTCTTTTTTTTTTTTTTTTTTTTTTTTTTACAACATACATTAAATTGTGAATCAGATGTTAAAGGGATGTGGAAATGATGGGAAACTGGTGACACCACAATACTTTACAACTTTACAACAAAGGAGAGTCTGAATTTGTTGCATCTACCAGTGTATAGCAAGGGTGGAAAGCAAAGGCACCCATAGGTTCATGAACCCCTCAAAACAAAGGGTGGAAGGGAACCAGGAGTGGGAAAGGACAAAAACAGAAGACTGACCAAGTACAAAATGCACACTTCAAGGTCAACCTGGTAACTGGTGCAGTGTACATTGCGAAGGCAGATCACTGCAAAAGCTGTTGCTGTGATTATTCATCTCTGCGTTTTTCGGAGAATGCTTTGTGGGTTAATATCACTGGGAATCTGCACATTTGGTGCTCCAGGGGTCTGGAGCTTGGTGAAAAGGTTCCTAGTTGGTTCTTTTTTAAAAAAATTACCTTGCTACCTACTGTTTTCAAAGGGTTTTGTTTGTTTTTATTAAAATAACAGCAATTGCTTTGGATACAGAACTATCTACTCCAGTCTGCATAGTTCACTGAGGGTGAACAAACTGTTTCATAGAAGAAGTCATGATGAAATGAAAGAACATGCAAGCACCCTTGTTACACACTTTGGTCTAGACCATCCAGACTTTATATATACCATCTATAAGCTAATGGACTTAAATCTGTCGTTTCAATCATTCAGAAACAAAACCAAAACCCTGAAAAACAAATGGAAGTATAAAATTTTAAAAAACAAATTGAAACAGAAACAACCACCTTACTCAAACATACTGTTCAGTAGATATATATATATATTTATATATATATAAAAAGCTTAGAAGCGATCCCCATCATTTTCTACAGTATGTTGACACAGTTATTGTAACAGATTAAAAACACATCTACGTTTTTGCATAAACTGAAAGACTGGAAAGGAACTTACACACCTGCGTGCGCACACACACGCACACACCTGTGCGCACGCACACTCCCACACTAGCTACATGCACAGTCACACCAAAGAAACAAAGGAAAAAAAAAATACATTTTTCCCCAAAGAAGTATATGCAGCATCCTTATGGAGCAGCAGGCAGCAACAGCAGGAGCCTGCCTGCCTGTCCCAGCTCCACATGCCCTGCGTGCGGCAGGACGTGCAGCTGGGCTTTCCATGGGACTTGGCCTCTCTTGCCAGCACTTGTCCCCAGCCAGGGGACATGCTAGCCCCATGGATGAGGGTGCTGGCCACCTCCCTGCTGCCCAGTGGGAATGACCCCCATGCTGCCATGCGGAATAGGGGGAGTGGAGTGGGAGGTGGGGGAAGGTGGAACCCCCAGAACGGTGCCTTGGGATCACTGTTGTTTGTTGGTGGTTTTGAGAGAGGGCTTGGCACAGCTAGAAAGTCAAATTGAAGTGGAGGGTATGGTGCTAGCCTAATTTCTTGAGGGACACGGGGTTATGACAATAACCACCACATTCTTCTATGAATGTCTTTACTCCAGTTCTTGAAGGGGCTTATAGGAGGAAGAATCAATAAATATTTGCATTACTCAAAGGGGAAAAAGAAAAAGGTTTTACATACTACAGCTCACAAGTATACACAACTGAGGGTGTAAGGCACAAATTTACATGTGGAAGAAAACAGGCTATTCACAGATATATTCCCACGAAAAACCCGTGTGATAAGACCATAATTTATGCATGGTAACAGCCGGCATATTAACTAGTTCACGCTGTTTGAGGATTTTGTTTGCCGTCTCACATGCAAGGTGAAATGAGATGGCACATCACAAGCTGGTGCCTTCACAGAAAGTATTAGCTACTGACAAAGCCATGTTGATAGCAATGGTGCACAAATGTGCAGCTTTTAAGAGTTTCTCTTGCAGTTGCGTTAGAAGTTATGAACTTGTGGTATTTGTTGCTGTCTTAGGTCAGAGGCCCAGCCAGCTAATTAGCTGAGAGACTTAAATAGATATCCCCTTTTTTTTCAGCTAATCAGGCAGTCCAGGCACAAAGTTCAGAATTCCAGCTCCGACTTATCTAACTCAGTGAATTCAGTGGAAAAATAAAAGAGTTTTAATTACTCCAGTTAATGGGTTTCATGTTAAATAGGTATAACTTCCAAGGTACTTCTGAAGAGCTGCTCACAGGATTATATGCAGAAGTCATTTCCTTAGGAAAAACAAAAGTTGAACAATAAATAAGAGGAGTTACTTGTGTTAACAGTCATGTGTTACTTGTTAAAAGAGAAGCAGAAATCTATGACATAGTTTGCCCAACATGGCATTTAACTGCTGTAACCAAATGGCTGTAACACTGATGGGCATCATTTCACAGTACCTGCACGTAGTAAACTTCTGCCATTGCTAAGTCAGAGTTAGCTTTATCAATGGATTTTTTTTTCTTTTTTTTTTTTCCTTTTAAAAATTTGT